TTTGGAACTAGTAAGATCTACACACAATATAAAGTTCTTTGCATTTGCAAATAACATTGTATAGAACAGTAACGGGTGAATGTCAGAAGTAACTCAGAAGAACAAATGCTCTTGTGTTACCAAGCAACACCAGTACATTATGTCTATTTGAAAAAATACATATATATCAATTTAGCCTATTTCTTAAATCCTACAGAAGATGTCAGCAAGGAGCTTGTTAGGGAAACTTAGTAATTTTCTATTTGATAAAGCCATTGCATATTCTAACTTACCATAAGAAAACTGATTATATGCTGTGTATAATAAACGGCCTTTTTGTTATGAATAGAACTCAAAGCATGTAGCAGTATCCTTGATAATTTTATCCTATAGCTAAAAACAGAAAGAAACAAAAAAGCACAACAGCAAACCAAACCACTATGCCTCAAAGGGGACAGATTTAGTTAAATCTTGTTCTGTCATATACGCAGCCTTAAGCCAAAGTTGCTTCAACTGTTAGAAGTGAATCTGGTTCCTTGTTTCAGCTTCCTGAGGAGATCTTTTCTGTGAAAAAGTTGGATGCTTGAGGCTAAGCTCAGAGATAATACAACTAGAAAGGCAAACACATGTACCAGTTAGCCAGTACTAGAAAGGAAAGCAACAGGCATTGTATAGGATTTCTGAGACAAAGTTTTGGTAGCAGAGTGGCTGCAGGTGTGGCTTTTGTGAGAAGACAGAAGGAGATGCCCCATGTCTGACACAGCCTGTTCCAATCATCTCCAAAAAGGACCCATCACTGGCCAGTGCTAAGCCTGTGATAACATATTTAAGAAAGAGCAAAGAATCTTGTGTTGCTGCCATGAGAAAGGAGTTCGAAAATGTGAGAAGCAGCTCTGCAGGCACCAAGGTCAGTGCAGGAGGATGGGAGGTGCTCCAGATGTGGAGCATAAATTCCCTGTAATCCTTGGAGAGGCCCATGGTGGAGCAGCTGGATTTGACCTGATGGAGCCTACAACATATGGAGGACCCACTCTGGAGCAGTCCATGAAGGACAGCATACCTGTGCGAGGGATCCTAAGTTGGAGCAGGAGCAGAGAGTGACCATTAAGGAGAGGAAGAGACAAAGAGTTAGGGACTGATCACAGCCCCCATTTTTCTGTGCCACTCAAGGAGAGGTGGGAGAATCAAGACTTCAGTACTTAAGTTAAACCTAGGAAGAAGGGATAAGAGGGGAGGAGAAATATGGTTTTGGTTTTGTCTTGATTTCTCACTATTTTACTCTTTTTAATCAGCAATAAATAATAAATCTTTACCAAATCAAGTCTCCTTTGTCTATGATGGCTATTATTCAGTGATCTCCATGTCTGTATCTTGACCATTCATTTTATTTTCCCTCCCAGTCCTGTTAAGTATGGAGAGCGAAAGAGCAGCTTGGAGATTACCTGGCAGCCAGCTTACCAGCTTACGTTAACCTATCACGTATTAAATTTAATATATATGAAGCCATTTATTTCTATATATGTATTTTTCAGGTTCCCATATCCTAATAATTTTCAAAATGAGATTTTATTTTTTTGTAACTCAGTCCACTAATAAATCTCAGTGCTCTGTGGAAGAGTAAGCAAGGGCAGGAATAATCACTGCACATCTTTTGCAATTTAAGTTAACAACGACAGGACAAAAAAGCCTTCAGAACAGCAGCGTAACCGGACAGCAAAGCAAATATGTCTAACCTTATAAACCAACAGTCACAGATCTGAACATTAAAAACTATGACTGTGAGCCTGATAAATTGTACCACTGATGCTGGTCATCTCTGACTGCATAGGAACAGTATGCAGCTCATGTCCTTACAGCGTTATCTAGAGGTCCAAGCACTAGAAGATAATGGAAATTATTCTTTCTTAAATCTGAACCAGGATCCAAATTCACTAGATGTCCAGATGAAAAATGCAGTGAATTTGTACCTTGTGGACATCAGATCTGATTAGACATATGCCACTGTGCAGCTGACTATGCCCCCAAAGAAGTACAGTCATCAGTTTTCATCATGATAAAACATAAACCTTGGGGTATTTGTTCTGGATTTTTTTTTCTTGCTCTTGTAGCGCTAAGCCAGAATGAAACTAATTTACCTCCTCACGCACAGTGAAATAGTTTAGTTGACTATTAATTGTCCTTTATGGAGGTCCTTCTTTTCCTCTCAGCACTACCAGCTTCTGCTGCCTTGATCATAGGTATATCCTTGGAATGCCTCAGGTTGGAGGACACCTTAAAGGATTCCAGCTGTAGCCTTTTTGTGGTCATGTCTGAGACTGCGGATTGTACTGTTTATGGCAGCCACACATGCCTTCCAATCATATCCAGTTTCCTTTAGATCAAAGGATGGGTAATTCTCTTGAAGAAAGTCTAAAAATAAACATATCAGAGCAAATTATCAATTATTTATGCAACTTGCATTCTCTTTTTGGACGTAATTCAATCAAAACAAGCACATCCAAAACAGAACAGCTTAGGTCTGGTACGAGGATTGAACAGCAGAATTAGGGAGCAAACATTTTCCCCCTCTGTTTGATATACTTGACAGTAACAAAAAGGTCTAAGCATTAAAACAAAATACGCAAAGAAAACAAGGAGCCGTTTACATGGGCTTGATCCCTTAGAAGTGTTGAAGTTCTATTGCTAAAGCAAAAAGTCTCAGCCTCCATTTCAGAATGTATGTGGCAAGACTATGCCTTCTTTCAGACGATCTTTGATAATTAAATAAAGAATTTACAGGAATCCTCTTGTTTCTGATGGATAGTACCAGAGATGACTTTGTTCCATCTTTAGAAACAAGGGGATGAGGGGTAGATCATGAGGGTGTTTTCCAACTTAAAGTCACTAAACTATAACACAGCAATTTAACACAACACAACTGTAGAGAAACAGCAGTGACAGAAAAGCAGCAAGAATTCCTTCCTTACCTATCTTGTTACAGTAGAGTAAACAAATACTTCACTTAGGTAGCAAAGGAGTAAATAAGGTGAGACTGCAGCACCTTTCTGCCTTTCAACATGTAAAATGATTTGTTTTAAGATCAGATTTTTTTTATTTAGTTACTTTCTTTTTTAAATTTCTGATAAGAAGATTTCTTCTTCATGAACCATGCTGTGAGTCTATTCCAGAACTCTTAATGCTGGGCTAGAGAAGAATGTCTTGCAGAAGGCAAAAAGCGCCTGCTACAACTCCAGCCACAACGTACCCACTGTGATTCTGGAACAGGATTTGCAAACAGAGTAAATAATGCTAATTTCCTAAAGACATCATGGATTCATGTAAGCTGAAGAAATGGCAGAACTGTCTATATTCCTAAAATGAAGTACAATGGCCATTCCAAAAGTGATACCTCTATCAAACAGTCTTATTATGCTATTTGTATCTGTAGTAGTTTCTGTGGGAATAAACAGGAGGCACTGCTTTCAGAGAAACATATGTAATTTGTTAGGCTCCCAGCTACAAGCCACCAGAATAAGCCAAAGTCTGCTCTCCTAAGCAACAAGGTGTGTACTCTCAAACCGTTTCCAATCTCCCCAGGATCTTGAGGTTCACTATTTCATAGTCTCTATAAGAAATACCACCACAGATTTTCACACCCCAACCTTGCTCGTAAAGAGCACCAGAACCTGATGTGCTTTACTTCTGGTTGGCCTATCCAGCACCTGTACCAAGAAGCTGCCCCTGATGTCTATCAGAATCCCCTAGAACTGCTTCCATCTTCCAGTACACTGCCCTTTCAAGCAGATGTTGAGATAGAAGCAGGTTTGTCTTCGGGAGACTTCCTGGAGGTGCCTGAATATGGATTCATCAACTTTCTCTCAACTACTTCCACTGCTCGTACTAATATATCCCCCTTTGTTATCTGAACAGAGATTTTCGATCTTACCTCTGAGAGCATTAATTCTGTTGCAGTCCAACGGACTCATACCACGTTCAATATTACCATAGACATTGCTTTTCACCAGAACATCTTCGGTGAACAGATGACGAATTAGGTAGCGAGCTGACAGCTCTGGCCGAGACTTCCCCTTCGCCACATAAATGACTGAGAGTTCTGAGAAGGAAACAGAGAGAGAAGTATTTTATCTATCCAGTATCTACTGTCCTGCAAAGCAGCTGTGTCATACTAAAACTAAAACAATAAAAAAGTCTCCCCTGAAACTACTGCACTGGCTTGGAAAGACCAGAACAAAACTGTAACATCACAGCTAATTCTAAAATATAACAGATTGCAGACAGATGTCCAAGTAGGCAAAAAGTGTGCCAGTTTTACAATAGTGTAACAGCACTTCTGATACGATTTCAGCAATGCTAGCGATGTAGCCTGCATTATTAATGACTGCTTTCTACATTGTTTTCCTCTCATGTGAAAAGAAGATGCTATTTCAATTACAGAAATAGATTTCCACTATTACAGTGGTGCTCAGATCCTCGAAGTGGAAACTCCAAACAGTGAATATGTTCGCAGCAACTTGAACTGACTTGGCTGCAACCATTAATATTATACATAAAAATCTTATATATATGTACTTATATATATATATATATATATACATATATAAAATATAAGTATATATATAAAGCAGGTATATATATTAGAAATTATACAGATAAAATTCAGTAGTTTGTGGGGTCAAAGTCACCTAACAAATCTTGGGTGCAGGTACAGATTTGCTAGAGCCCCACAACAAATCTAATCAAATAAAT